CTAGACAACAATATACAGATAAAAAAAAATAATAATTTTTTCCAATTATACATTAATTATTGTCATTGGTCTTGGAGATATTATTATCGTTGTTCTTGGGGTGTCATTATTATCATTGTTCTTGGGGGTGTCATTATTATCATTGTTCTTGGGGGTGTCATTATTATCATTGTTCTTGGGGGTGTCATTATCATTGGTCTCGGAGGCGTTACTATCACTGGCCCTGGGGGTCTTATTTATCTTGTTCTTGGGGGTGACATCTACTCTGATAGGAGTGATGAGAGAATCCTGCCAAAAATGGTTAGTGGTGGTTTTATTACTGCTTATTTTTCATTCATAAATACAAAAAACCATAGTAAGTAAAAATTCATCTCCATATTGATTACTATGAAATGGAATGGCAAATTACTTTAAAAATTAATTACAAATAGATAAAAAAATATGTATGAACAAAAATATTATTATAACCCACCTACAAGAAACAAAAAATCACTTTTTTTTATACTGTCCATTCACTAGATCTAAAAAACCTGCTAAAAAAAGTTATATGATTAGTAATTGCGCTACTCTAATACTGCCAAATCACACTTAACAAAGCAATTCTGTTCGGTTATAAGTTCTAAATACTGATCTTTTTTTGATGGTTTTAGGTAAATTAAACCCCTTTAGATTCAACGATCGGTACTACGAAGTGAAAAAAGTCAACGATCTTGACGATCTGTGAAATTTCAAATCCCTATAACATATGAATTTTGATAAAACTACTGATTAAGAACATTATACGTATTACTCTTATAGCCTTTTTAGCTTCAAAGAAGCGCCCCTCTAAGGCAAGTCTCATTTTTATCGAGGGATCGTATAAAGTAAGGCTTTCTAGATAAATCAACTGTGAGAATTAATTCTGTAGAAATGTGATACAAACTATTCAAGTAACTTGTATCACAAACTTTATTTTTTATGCAATATCTTAATACTATAACAGTACAATTTATTTTTATATATAAAATCACATATTGGGCAAATATCCATGCGATGTTTTATACACGGCCGAATCAACTATCATAGGATATAGGAATATTTATAGCTTAGGGGCCCCTAAAAACAAATATAAGGCTAATCCTCTTCATTTATATTTTCTATACAGGAAGGTTGGCTACCTTCTATATCGGGCATACTAATATCACTATCATTTTGTAATGCAGATATATTAGGGGTTGAGGTAGTATTTGCCAAATTAGGTAAAGATAAGTATGTTGCATTATCTAAATTTCTACCTACATCATTAGTGTTATGGCCTGAATTCCCATCCGCATCATTTACATTACTTACATTATCTCGATTAGTAGTTTCGTCTCTTCTGGTGAGATTTCTCCAAGTCGGGGATGCAGATCGATCCCTTTGACTGGCAGGAGATTCACAGCAACTCATATTTATCATTGATGAAACTTCTTCATAGGTTGGTGGTGGAATGTGGTTTTGCCGTTTTTCTTCTCTTCTTTCTTCTTGAGGATGCGTTTACATTATGTATCTGATCAAACTGTGTTTCTAGATTTTTTTATACATAATTAACAATAATTTGTTTCTATTTCAAAGACACCTACAGCAAAGGCAGACAAATGTTCGAGATTAATGTAGAACCTTACCTGGTCTCTCCCAAAAATGTAAATGAAATTCCTCAAAGTATCGTTTTCCAGTTCTGGTTCTACGCCCTGCACAATTTCCTGCCATATATTGGCATATCAACTAAAGAGGATCAAGAAAATCGTTAGATTATAATCTAATTATGGTTCAATCTGTCAATAAGTGCCTTCGGTAAAAATACTTACAGTGTGATCTCTTATGAGATTTTGAAATTTACTCTTGCATTGATATTCTGTATAGTTGGTACTAAATCTCTCATTAATTATATTCGCAATATTATTCCAAAAACTCACCTTACTACTTCCAGGAATATTGTAATACTCGGCATTTCTATTTCTTCTTTCAGCAATTAATAAGTGCAATTGATCGTTGGTCCACATCACTAAGATTCTAACGCGACTCAACCGTGATACACCTGTTTTTCATAGAATTATATAGAAAAAAAATACTGCAACTCAACCGCGACTCAACAGTGATTAGTATCATTAGCTAATACAACCAAATTAATCGTCAGATAATCACAGTATAGCATTCTAAAGAAGTATGATTTTTATCACATCTCAGACTGGGTGATTCAAAATAAAAAATTTCATATGGAATAGAAATCGAAAGGGAGAGGTAAGTGGTTAAAATTACATTAAAAATTTATTAATATATGCACATTAAACAATGATCCGAAGGGTCGAGTCTCTGATTTTCTGTAACATATAGCGTAATATATAAAAATCAGATAAGTATGAAACTAATTTCGGGTTTGGTGATCAATTTATTCACGAATTAATTAGTATGAGCCGGAGTTGCTCAATCTTCTGTTGCTCTTGATTTTATAGGCTTCTTCGATTTTCTTCTTTGGTATCCCTTAATATGTAGACCAATGCAAACAAATTTGCCTGCATTTTTGCACTTTTTTAGCTCTGATTTACTTTTTTAAAATGCTAAAATATTTAAATAAAACTT